GCCTTCACACTCCTGTCGCAGAGGACAGTAAGACTTTACCCCCAGACCGCCTCGTAGCACGATTACTCGTAGTACGGAGTCTCGCTGCTCTTAGTTTGGTCTTCCTGGTATGGTTGCACCTTGTGGAACGAAGTTCTAGTGTAGGTAGCCCGCGGGATCATTGCAGCACTGAAGCCCGACCACCACGTCAATGTGGCAGCATTAGGTAGGTAGGATGACCGTGGGAGGATTTTAGAAGCCCGACCACCACGTCAATGTGGCAGCATTAGGTAGGTAGGATGACCGTGGGCTCGAGGATTTTAAGTTATAGGGAGATGTATTATCAGAAGCGATTATTCATTTGTTCGAGTTGTTCGATGAGTTCATTCAGACGTTGTGGAGAGGTGGGAGGGGCTGCAGCATTGCCAGGAAGTCCGGTTCTGGATATTGACCACCAAGTTGAACGGGCTGGAATGTCAGCTTGGAGAAGGTGGAACTGGCCAAACAGGCCGTTTGGTAGCGGGGAGCATACCATGGGATGAGCGATGTTATAACGCTTGAGCGCATGACGAGGCAGGTTTAGCGTCAATGAGGGTGTTCGAGAAACAAGCTAGGCGAGTGAATATTTGCTTTCAGGCCCTGCAGGCGCCACTGGCTGGGTATCAATCCGGGCCCGTGTCTTATCAATCTTTTCGAAAAACGATGCGAGCCCACGTACTCCTCTCAAGCCAAGACCACCCGGAATACGCTCTGTGGCAGATGAACAGTTCTGCGTGACCGGAGTTTGCACTTCACTCGTCCAATTAATTTTCGGGCTTGGGACAGTAAAGCCGCACTGGTTAGTCCAAAGCAGCTTTTAGAGTTGTCCGACCCGAAGTCATGGGAAGTTGTGGGGCGGTCCTGAGAAATTTTGCGTGCCCATTCCCGATTTCCGCTGAGGGATTAGGCGCAGGAGAGCGAAGTGTAATTCGGTGAAGAGACAGTGATGGAGCACGACAGACCAGATGTCGTGCGGAAGATTGCCACCTTGAAGATTTCTGGTTTGGGTGAGCAGGTTAGCAAATACGAAAAATACGCTGCTCACTATACGGATGATGAGATGAGACTGGATAGCATGGCTATTCTCTGTGGCTGCGTCGGGGGTCAGAGGAGCTCAACCTGAGGGGCCAGGCGTACATTCTGACCCTCAGTTGGGGATCGGTTACAAAGTTGGTATTCTGTGTACCCTGATTTGATAGCTTTAAGCTGAAGGAAGCCCCTAGTTATTATTATTTTTTACCCTGACAGAAACATCGGCTTGAGATAGTGAGGCAGCACGACGAACACGCCCCAAGTCGGAGTGACTCTTCGGGTGAAGAATGCAATAATATGAGCTAGATCTTTGCAGGATAATTTGTTTTCCTGTGCAGTATGTTAATTTGGGACATCAAAGAAGTTATAATTTCGTCAGACATTTTCAGACCGGGGGGATAGGTTTGTGAGTGTGGCGGGGAATTGCATCGAGCCCGAATGAATTAAGTTATTGGCGCCCGATTAGGCTGGGAGGGGTGCAAATGAGTTGGACCGATAAATGAACGGTAGTTGGGTAGAAGTAAAGTGTTTGGACGTGCATGGGTGCCTATGCTGCGAAATCGTTAACAAAATTATTGGCCAGATGGGCCACGAAACCACTCGGCGCAACTGTAGTACCTTGTTGCTCCCAACAAGCTCATCAAAGCGACCCACTTGACTTAAAAGTGAGAAAAACTGTTGACGTAAGCTCAGTAGGGGCAAAGGCAACTTTGAAGATAAAAACAGGTTCAAAATGTGCACTCAGCTCTACGCACTGGAAAATTGGGAGCTCTGTGAACTTAAGTGCCATTTCTGAAAATACCTCCCGCATGAATTCTGCCAACGAAATTTCCTCGGAAGTACAGATGCATCATTCTAACGCCATCAGCGCTGGTGCGGACAAGAAAACTTAGTAAGTCGCACTTGCATTAGCTTCAGCCACTCACACTTAGGACCGCATCCTGCTGTATGCAGACGACATGCAATTTGCCTACTGAGCCCAGGAGCATACCAGCTTAGACATTGTTCGCTTGCACTCAGCATTCGCACAGTATTCACAATTTCGAAAGTTATGACGTGTCCGCATAGGACTAAAGCAATCGGGCCATTGAGTTGAGAATATCACTCCAAACTTTTAAGCCCCAGTTAGACATCTCGGGATCTCAGGGATGCCTGAACATGATTCCGCGGGACTTTTCAGCCAGAGGCATGGTTGCTTCAGTGAGCAATGAAATTTGTTGAGCTGCAAAAATATGAACGTAGATTAGAACGGTTTTTGATTTTAGCACATACGCAACAAAATGCAACATTTTGGCGCAGAAAGTTTTACTCCATTTGTAAATGTTTTGACTGAGAGCATTGTGCGGATAATGGACCCCTCGTTCACCCGCTGTTGCATTTCATATGTCAACCCGCCATTCGAGCACAGTCCAATCAGATTGCCAACAAAAGTAACAACCAATCAGAACACTGAGTTTGCCACCACAACTTCTGCTTCGGTGCTGGTTCCGTTGCTTGCTTACCGTGGTTTTCTCCGCACCTTTCCGCCATCGGCCGGGTATTTTCACCGGAGGGGCCAAATTCTGTGAGTCCCTATGTGGTTTCATTTTGTGAGCATGTTCAATTTCGACTGTACAACTTCCTCACACCCATGCGGTGCCTAAGACCTTCAAAAAGGAGCGAAAAATACCAAATGGTGCTGATGTCCCAGGACACGCCTGAGAAGAGTTCGGACCTGAAGTTACTGAGTCGCCCACGGATGCTATACAATTTTAGCGCGGTATTTACCACGTGACCCAAGTAGTTAGTAATCGGAACAGGTTGTCTGCAATACCGGTTCAGCCAAACTAGGCGCTCGCTCGTCCGGATCCAGCGTGGAGGTATTTTTTCTACGCCTAACACGCCCGGGCAACTATCATAGTTTTAGGTTTATGTTTTCTCTCCGTCTATAGTCTGACCTTGCCTTCCAGTTGTTTGACAGTTTTGGCTGTCCTGTTCCTAGGTTTTTGTTGACGGGTTTTTTGTTCCACCTCGGGGTCTCACACAGATTCCTGGTCTACAAGGCCCTTCAGGTTGATCATCTGCCAGTAAGGCTTGTGTGTAGGACTGGTACACCTTGGGGACAGAGCAACCTAGGGCTTATCTACCTCATGACTATGTATAGCCTAACTTGCAGGCGTACAGTATCACACGTCCGCCAGTACTGACATGCATTCAGTGGATTACCATGGCGCTGATACGAAAGAAACCTTCCTGAGTTTGTATGTGCAAAACACTAAACTATATTTCTGCTTTACTTTTGCATCCTGGGCTCACTCCTATTCTATCCCACTGAGTCCATGAGGAACCCAAAGTTCATGTCATCGCTGGTCAGAATGTCTTCCCTGATGAAATAGGACAGTGGTAGTAGAAATGAGATTCTCGTTGAAAGCAATCCCTTGCTGGTTGATTCAGTATGAGGTGACTCTTGCGAAATAAGTCAACGGCAACCCCAAGTCTTACTTTTTTGCACAGCCTCGTTCTTCCTTGAAAGCTGTGGACAACTTACGGTCCGAAATTAGTCTCCCAGCTGAATCGAATCTGGAAAATGGAGTATCATTTCATCTCTTCGTTTATTTATCGGCCCACTAAAAGGACCTAGTCCGTACCTCCAAAATGTTCGCAGTTGATTCCGGTTACCATTGATTTTGACATGCTATTTCGAGAAGTGCGTGTAATCGTCGAGGAACGTGCTATTGCAAAAGACGATTATATAGACATCGTTCATCTCGCTGTCTAGAAGATGTGCCGGACTTATCGTTAGCCACAACCGACTGGGTTTATAGCATGCCTAGGGAATCACCTCGGTAGAGCGAATTCACAAATATGATGAAATCGAAAGGGCTGCGAGCTACAGAACAGTCGTAATGTTGATGGAGGAACTTATCCAGGACGCACGCGGCGTCCCACACCCTCTTCTTTAAGTGGGTTTGCACGCACTGGATGATGTTTGACCTGTTCGCTGTTTTTTGTTTTCCTGAGGATTTGCATCATAGTATAGCACAGGGATAGCTTGCTGCCTCATCCCGGGTAAATTAGCAGTATCTCAGCCATCATCACAGTTACCCACTCTTCGAAGCTTCCGGTCTATTTCCAAATTTCGCCCGAGGATTTGTTTAGGTGCTTTGGGATGGGTCTACATTCTAGACGTTACATGGATCTGTGATGTCGTGCTTTACATGCAAGCTGGGTCTGTCCTAAAATCGCTCATCACCCCCTTATCCTGTCCCATGAATGGTGAGGCTTCTGCTCCATCTTTTTATGTCTCAGCTGTGCCTCAAGTTGTTGTGCCGTGTAATTCCCCTAGATTTCAACACAAAACCTACCCTCTTCCGGTCTGTTTTCAATGTAATGCTCCGTGGAAAGTATGCCACCCTATGCTTTGAACCTTCACAGAACATTCAGTTGCCTTTTCTCTCGTCATAGTTGCAGTGGATGGCTGTTCAAAGCACCAAATTTATGAAAAATCGCTGGATAGTGCTCGTATTCACCTCGGAGTTATTGACGTAAGGCGTGGATGCTTACCAAACGAGCTGATGTGGAAATCAATGAATTAAAAAGACCGTTCAGCTGTAGCCCCATTCGGTGCTTAACTGCCATGCCACTAGCAGGAGAGCACGAGGGCTGATATACTGCAGGTTGCCCAAGCTTAGACAGGGGAAGTCGAAAGGCATAGGTCGGGTTCGAACCACGAACCTTCTGGTCAGTAAATTCGCGCTCTAACCACTGAGCCATCTACCTGGGAGGAAGGCGTAGGTAAGCAAGCTGCTCATAGCATATTTCCTACTGGTTGGGTGAAGAACCAGCATGGGCTGATGTCTTCCTCTTTGTCCTTCTCGATCCTCTCGTTTGCCATATTCTTCACCGTTCTCATTGACGTCAACATCAGGGTCGAGACATCAATGACTCGTTCGCTGTACACCCACCTCAGTTCTTTAAGGAGGTCTTGGTGCGTGAACAAGATAAAAAGGATTAAGGTAACAGACCTAGTGCTAGCCTACCACTAGCTTACGAAGTACCTATACCTCCGGTATTCAGACAATCACAACACGAACATAAGTGATATCGCTTCGCTACCACATTTTGCAGCTTGTGGCCAGATTCACAGAGAGTTATGCAAACCCCGTCCAGGCGCACTCGGCAAACCCACAGTCTCCGACTCCTGCTCCGTTATAGCAAGATGTCCGTCTTTAGGCGTAAGGCGTTCAATTTGGCACAGAAAACAAAACTTTTACTGGTGAATGATAAAACATGATCTAGCCGCGCACCAAACATCACTGGTAAACACGTCTTCTGGATTCACTGGCGCCAGCGCACATCGGCAGTGGTTCTGTGACATCAATGATCAAAGACCCTAAGGCGCGGCAGCCTTTGTCTTCACAGGTGCTATCTTACAACCGTACAGCAACGTAGCCCCCACCGTGGTCTGATACACACGACATTTGAGAGCAAGACGAATATGAACTTCGTACACTGAACTATCACTTTTCCATCACGGGTAATTCAGCTTTCTCTCCATATTCCCCGGCGTTTCCTCGAGCTCCATAGCTCAGCGATTAGGGCGTCAGACTACTGATCTGGAGAGTCCGCGGTTCGAACCCCGACACTGGCTTTTCGATTGCTCCTTTCTGGTTTGGGCAAGCTTGCAGGGTCTCATCCCTCGTGATTCCTCTGGATTGCACTGGGGTAGTGTATGGAATATTTGTTATAACTATTCTATAATCGGGCGAGATGGCCCAATTGGTTGGAGCGCGAAGTTACTGACCGGAAGGCCCGTGGTTCGAACCTGACCTCTGCTTCTCGACTTCCCCTACCTGGGCTTGGGCGACCTGGCAGTATCCCAATCCTCGTGCTTCCTTCGGGCAGCTAGGTACCGGAAGGGTGTTACAGCTGAACGAAACGATTCTAGAGTCACAATCATCCTGTTAGAAACATGTACTCCAGCTTTACTGCTGGTACAACGTGTATTTCAAACGACAGGATAACACTTGTCGGCCATTCAAACCACCTGTGTCTCTTTTTCGAATGTGCAATCTGCGTACTCCTGATTGACGACAGTGGACTGAACACCCGGGTTTTGGAGACCCCAGCTTCCGTTTTTACATATCCCCGGTGACAAAGGTTAACAATAATGCATAGTGTGGACATCGTAAAAGAACATTTTGGGGGATTCTTTCTGAAGCTTTACACGCCCGTAGGTGTTTAAATGTAATGAATGTGAATTTCACAAACTTCTTGGACATCTTCTGTTGCACGAGTATGTTAAGACGAACTGACTGGTCAACAGAATCAAATCCTTGAAACGAAGGCATTCAAGTATTGTGGGTCCAGGTAATCCCGGAGTATTGCTCGTTGTTCATGGGTCAGTGCTTCACAGTACTTCATGAAATAACCAGATGCGGTTGATAATCCGTCAGTAATAGACCAGACCTTACTATGTTGTGACTTTGTGAGTCCCCGTGACCCACTGAATTTCACCTGGCAGTATGCATGTGACACATAGTCCCGCAAACCAAGTTGGTCAGTTGTTACAGCTCTCAGGTACAGTATCCTGGTCCCTCAGGATTAGATTTGGAACGCGTATGGTGAATTTCCTCCAGAGAAGTTCAAAGGCATTCCCTGGCAAACCCCGGTTTTGCAGTCAGCTTTTGGACCAGCAGCTTTGAATCGGAGTCCTAATCGTCTTCCTGTTTGGGTTTGGGTGCCCGGATAGTATACAAACCTGGTTATAACCATGAACCATGCAACCAGAGGTGATCTCGTGCCACATCGGCCGTGGCGTGGTGTCGTCGCCCAAGATGCCTTGCTTGCTGCATGAGATTGGGTGGATTGGCAGAAAGAGGCTGCTGCTGACATCCACCTTCTTTCTCTTCTACGCGTTTGTCTTCCCCCTTCACCCCATTAATAGTTCTCTCATGTCAGTCCGTTAGGACTAATGAGCCCGATTGAATTACATTGCTGTTGGTAGCAATATCTGTGCATCAGCCTACACCGACAGCATCAAGCATCTCGAATTCAATCTTCAGACCTCCGTGCCTGGTTAATGCGGCTGTTTTTAATTTTTGCAGTCTGAAGCAAACAGGACTACAAGCTATGCTTGCTGCTAGAATTCAAGATATAGGCGCAGCCGTTGAGCAAAGCGCTCCATCCTCTCCCCCACCCCGGCTGTGCACCTCTGGCAATCCGGTGGCTAATGCGACAGGCTTTGCAGGAGCTTACATCATCCAAAGTCACCGGGTCTAAAAGTCCTTGCTTGACTGGATTTTCGGTAGTAATTGCCTCTGTATGATTCGTCTGGCAACGTTTATGAAGAAATCTTAGCGACGGGAAGTTGGTCAATATCTCTTTATCGTGTCCGGTTACGCCCCAAAAGACGGTTGCTCTAACACCGTCCAAGACAGTTCTTGTGATGCATTAAGTGTCTTGCCACGATGGGCTTAAAGCTCAGTTATTTTTTTAAACGCACGGGAGTTTTATAATCAGATCATCTGCGACTCAATTTGATGGTTTACTTGAACTGGACTCGGTACATACAGACAGCCCCAA